CCGTAAATATTAGTTCAGAATTATTACTTTCCGTTATTATACATTCCGGTAATATTTTTTCCGTACTTATATAGCCCCCCTGAAGCAATACCTCGCGGTAGTTCCAGGGCGGTCCATAATATGCCGGATGGTGAAAAAAAAAAGGTTGGCATGATATTGGAGTGAAAGACTGGCTGCGTTAGGATCACTATTAATTGACAATACGATACAATACAATAAATCGTCAGCGTAAGTGGCTAAAATTGTTTTATCAGTTTAAGGGATATCGGCAGTGAATGCATTATAAAGGTCTGGTGATAAATCACTTCCTTGAGGTACACCTGCATTTATTATTTGGTATGACGAGAATTAATTTCCTTGGCGAACGACAAAGTGTCTGTTTTCCAAATATGATTTTATAATTAGAAAATATGGAGCAGGTAAATAGTGTTTTAATTTGAATAGTATGCCTTCATACCAAACCCTATCAAAGGCCTGAGCTATGTCCAAAAATAGACCGGCACAATAATGTTTATTTTCAAGCGTTGTTGCAATTTCATCAGTTAGTCGGTGTATTTGATGTATTATTGAATGTCTGTTGCGAAACCCAAACTGACTATTTGGTACAATGTATGTAATGATAGAATAGGACGTAGTCTTCTGAGTAATATTTTTTCGAAAAGTTTTCCTAATACTGGTAATAAACTTATTGGTCTGTAAGACGTAGAAAGATGTTTTGGTTTGTTTGGCTTTGATATTAAAATAATAGTTGCAAATTTCCAGATTATAGGAAAATATGAAAACTTAGCATCGCATTGTAAATGTAGGTTAACAAAAGCATGGTTTTTTGTGATACATTTTTAAAAATTTTATTGGTAATTAGTACATAACCGGGTGCTTTGCCTAGAAGAAGTTTTTTATTAAATACTCTACTTCACCTGGAGTTGTATATTTGGCTGGTAAAACCATTGGTAGTGGAGTTGTTAAGAAGGTTTTTATTTCTTCATTGAAATTACTATCAGATTATAAATTAGTATTGGGAGTGAATGTTCTTGCCAATTGTGCCGCAAACATGTTGGCTTTATCTNTTTGTAAAATTGAATTTCGGTTTATTATACTGATCGGCGTTATCGGTTTAGGATTATCTAATTTATGCTAAGCTGCCATTTTCTTGGCGTATTGGTGGTATATTTTCTTTTTTTTTTTTTGTGAGCCTTTTAGTTGCTTCCCAAAGAGAACCATTATTTTGATTTAAATAGTTAAGCTATAGTTTGTACTGATTTGCTTTGAAAACAGATAGTTTCTTTTTTAAAGCATTTGCTAGCCTATTAAAGTACTGTTTTTAGCTTGGTAATCTAGTATTGTACCATTTAGCTCTGGCTCGCCTTTTTTCAATAATTAATTGTTGATGAAATAGTAACTGCTTGCTGAATAATTTGTGTGATGGAGTGAGCTACTGAATCTATATCTTCTTGAGATTTAAGGGGTATTTTTAAAGTAATTTTGTTGTCTAGGTTTTGTTTGAAACTATTCCAATTCACAGGCCCGTAAGAAAGAGATGGTATTGTGTTAAATAATAGCTTTTATTTCATAAAAAGTACTGCTGGAGAATGATCACTTGATAAATCAGATACATTTTAAATACTTGTATGTATATGAGCGGGTATTTTGGTAACGAAAAAATCTATTATTTCTGGTAACCTTGTAGTATGTGTTGGCTAGTAGGTTGGTTCTGAAGATGATATGTATGAAAAATTATTATTTATTAATAAAGTATGAAGGGTGTTTCCTCTATGATTGGAGGTTCTACTTCCCCAAAGATTGAGCTTAGCGTTATAGTCGCCTCCAGCATTAAATGAGTGATTTAACGTTGAAAAAAATTTATTAAAATCATTAGAGCTTATGTTTTGACCTGGTGGCCAGTAAACAGACGAGATTGAAGTTAGTATGTTTTTTATTTTTATTTTAATAACTGTTGCTTGTAAAATATTTTCTTGAAATCCAGGTGATTGATAATGCTGAATGTTAGAAGAAATAAGTATTGCAGCACCAGCATATGCTGTGCCGTCTGGATGGTCGGTTTTATAAAGTGTATAGTCATTGATTTAAAAATTAGATTTGTGTGTTAAATGTGTTTCTGTAATTAGTGCAATATCAATTTTTTTTCGAAGAGAAAATGCTATAATTCGTTTTTATATTAGTTTACTTCATTTGCATTCCAATGAAGTATAGTTAATTTAGGTATGTTATTGTTAGAGTTAGTCATTTTTTAATAGTATTTTGTTTATAACAGTGGTGAGAAGAGTAAGTAGTGGGTTAATTAATGACTTGAAATCATTAATAAATGTTGATAGTTGGTTTGTAAGGTTTTTTGAATCTTGAGTGTTGTCGTTAGTCAGTACTTGGACGTACGTTTTTTGTTTGATATTGTGTATTTGAAAACGTTTGTTGTGAGGTGTGACCTAAAGGCTCATTTGCAATATTTGAATTAGGACTTTGTGTTTTCGGTTCTTGAGTATTTTTGTAAGTGGTTGATTTCTGTTTTTTCGAGAGATCCTTGTAGACTGTACAACCTCAGTAACTCGAAGGATTTTGTCCTTGACATAATGCATGTGGTTGATCAGGTGTTTTTGTACAATTTTGAGTCAAATGTGTTTCTCCACATTTAACACAACGTAATTGATGGTTGCAGAAATTTTTTCTGTGACCAAAATCTTGACATCTTACACATTGTACTAAGTGGCGACGAGGATGGGGTTCCTCTACTTTTATTNTTATTAACGAATGAAGTTTGATATGATAGGTTTCAACTACAAAATTAAATCATTTTACTTTGTAATTTAATAATTTTTTTTACTCTATTTGTGTGTGCTACTACTAGACTATTATATTACAAATTTGTTGGTAACATGTTGCTATATAAATCATTTCTAAAAAAAATGATAGTTTCTCCTGAATTAACAATGGATTTTTACAATTTTAATTATTTTTTATAATAAGCTCGATTGAGTCAATCTTTTTAACAACTTTGTTTTGACTGGTTCATTTAGTTAAAGTAAATCATTAAAATTATTTATATATTTATCATTTATTGAATATTTTCAATTTTTTATTATGCCTCGTCTACACTGTACCCCACGGTGCTACCGTTTTTTTTTAAATGCATGAGGTAGATTTTTTAATAGACGCGGGATTGCAAAAATCTTATACAGCGATATTGCTACAAATTTCGTAGAAGCTAATAAATATTTAAAAGAAGTTTACGATTTATTTCAATCTGAAGAGCACAAAAATCAGCTGATTCAGCATGTTGCGGAAAAAGGCGTGGAATGGCGATTTATTCCACCAATCGGTTAGGTCGATGGCGCCGTGTGCGTCATTTTTCCCAAATGTTGTGGAAGAGATGGAGACACGATTATTTAGCTCAATTACAGGAAAGGGTGAAGTGGTCCACTGCCAAGGGTCCTAATATTAACGTGGGCACTATAGTTTTGTTACGCGATGAAAATGTAGCGTCATTGAATTGGAAGTTGGGTCGCGTACTAACGGTAAAGATGGTGTTATACGTTCTACGACAATTAAGACTACAAAGTAGTGATGGGCAATTTTGTATATTTTAAACTGTCTAATAGTATTCGATAGTTTTTTAAAACTATCGAATAGTTTTAAAAAATATTCGAATGGGCTATCAAATGGTTTCAAAAAATATTCGATTAGTTCTAATTAAAATTTTTATTCAGTACACTTAATTATAATAAGAAGATAATTAACGAATACTTAAAATAAATTATTATACAATTAATAACAGTAATAGTACCATTTTATTTATTTTTAGTTTGCGAGTCGTTGGTAAACACTGATATATATGGGTTGAAAATTAAAAAGCAGTACTTTTTTCCGATGAATAATGATATATTTTCAGTTTTATCGGAAAGGTTTGTTCTATGCGCAACAGAAGTATCTCCCTTTATATCCTATTTTCGTAAGCCCCTCTTTCGTAAATACTAAAGTCTTATTTTACACTTAATACCTTGTGTACAGTTCTTAGTCTAGCATTACCTGCTCTTTTGTCATGTAAAGGCATAACACCGATAAAGAGGACAGCGCAAACAAACAGTTGAGTGTATAATTTATTTTCTCTATAAAATGCACAAAAAAAATAGATCAAACGTATGGAATTTTATTAATTCTCGAAATAATCATTTTACAACAAAATGTTTCGTAAAAAAAAATATGTCAAGTTAAATTTTTTAAAACATTGGTCTTATGTAAAATTATAGTCAGATTTATATTTTTGCTGTTTTAATAACACTAACG